GTCTCTCTCATGCGCGTTACAGACGTACACATACTTATGCTCACGTAGGAAAAAACAATAGCGATTTGATCGGATTAATCACTTTTTCGGGCTAATTATTTCTTCGGTACCGTTCGCTCTTTGAAGTCATCACGCAGTTGATATTTCCTCCTTTACGTGAAAAATTTCCCATCGTGTCTATATATAGTAATTTTACTTCAGTCTTTTCGCTTTTGACATCCATCGACAATTTGGTACGTCTAGTTGCATCTCTCGATTAGTAAGCAAGCACAAACAGAAACTTTAAAACAGTCTCATTAATTAAACTTTATTAAAGCATACAAGCTTACAATTCTTCTTGATACTATCAACAAGATATACGTATATATTCTCCACAAAAAGTTTCCATTTTATTGTTCTACTAATTTCTTTAGTTAATAAAATTTCAATGTTTATTATATCGAAAAAACTTTGACATTTTCCGTAGAAATAACACAGAAATGAATAAATTACGCGTTGATATGAATATTTTATTATTTTTTTATTTCAGTTTCTGTCTAGTTTATTATTTTTAATCATCGGATTACTTTTCCGGCGCGGTATACAATTACACGCTGGCGAAGTAGTTTAATGGCGTTCTACATCCACATAGCTAGACCTGGTATGTGACAACAGCTGGTGGCCTTCCACGTCGACGACGTTTTTCTACGTGGGCAGCCTCTTCGGCAACGTCGTGTTCGGTTGGATCGCGGACAAATGGGGCAGGAGGACGGCCTTTTTCGCCATCCTGTTTCTCGAAGTGATATTCTCCATCGCCACGAGCTTCAGTCCGAACTACGTGATCTACACGGCGCTGAGGACCGTGAACGGTCTCTTTTTTCCTGCCATTTATCAGATACCTTTTATACTCGGTACGTTGGGCACACGTAAATCGCAGGCTATTTAATTTTAAATGAAAATCTAATATCAATTAGAGAAATTGCAATTTAAGGTCCGAGGTAGATCTTGGTAGTCTAATAATATATTGTGTGAATTTTGTATACTTTTTCCAAATTGCGCGCCGACTTTTTTATCGGTCTTTAAACACACAGCTCTTTGTTGGAACAGTAAATTCACATGTTTAAATCGATAATCGATTTAACTTTTTGATGCTGATAAGCATCCTTATTAAAAAAATATATACCTAATACAAAAGTTTCAAGGAAAATTTAAATGCAGGAGAAAAGTCCGAAAGATCAGAACCGTGTTTTTCAGTCACCGTTACTGCACAAACCCAGGTAGCAGAGTGACGTCAAATGACGTATTAATAACGTCTTAATGACGTCTTTAACGTCAATAAAACGTCTTTCTGCCACCTGGAAACATGATCACAAATAGAAACGTCGAAATCGACGTTCGTGTAAAATGCAAAATACTTCTGTATGATAAATTTCGTTGCAGCTCTCGAATTAATGGGACCGAGATACCGTACATTCGCTGGGATGGTGATCTGCATGTTTTTCGCCACGGCGATGTCTCTTCTGGCGCTGTTGGTAAGCACTCTTTCTTTACAAAATACGAAGGGGCAAAGTGGCGAATACGCTAGTCGTTTCAAAATCTCGCCATCGCGAATACCTCAAAGCTCGTATTATCCCGCGAGAGACAACTCGCGGATCTCGCAATGGATTCAACGCGAGGGTGCAACGCAGATCATTTTGCAAGCGATCCATCAGCGTGCATCATACGGTGCGAGCGTATGCAAATACGAGTGGTCGGCCGCGCTGCATGCTAATGCAATAGAAACATTCTGGCATTCGGACGTTCCCGAAGCTACGCGCGCGCCCGGATACGCACGGTAGTCGTGAATTTCGTGGAAATTTCAAGTTTTGCAAAAAAGAAAACGTCCGGAAATTAAAAACAGTAACTATTTTTAACTAAATTGTCATTATATGCTTTCGTTCTTTTCCTTTTGTCTGATTAGGGTTACTTGTTAAGACACTGGTATACCCTGTCGTTAGCCACATCGGTGCCTTTCATTCTTCTCTTCAGTTACTACTGGATCATCCCCGAGTCACCGCGGTGGCTTCTCAGTAAGAATAGAATAGACGAGGCGGAAGCGATCGTCCAACAGATGGCAAAAGTCAACGGCAAAACAGTGCCTACGAACTTTCTCAGAAAGATGGAGGTAACTTCACTATTTAATCGCCGATTCCTTTTGCTTATGTCTGTCAGTGTGTTTCCTACATTAACTCCTAAACTCTTTTTGATCGATCTGGACCAAATTTTGCACAGTTACTCTCTAGACCTCTGCGGAAAATGTAGGCTACTGCGAGACCTGGACACCCCATTCCCTCCCTCTGATTTTATCCCTTTGACACCTTGTATGATAATCCCTTACGATCCCCATCAACGCCGGCTAGTTTAAGCTAATAATTTATTAAATTCGGATAAGGTATTACATCTTCGTTACTATTTTGCAATACAAGGGCTATATATGAAGTCATTAGCGACGTTATTTGCAGATAGAAATATTAAAGAAGCAAGGGATATCGTGTAACGGTAGGAATTCCAACGACAGTAACATCGACGTGGAAGGCGAAAACAGATCGCCGCCGACGTCCGCGACGCCTATGGACCTGATCACAAATCCAAATATCAGAAAGAAGTTCTTCATCCTCGCTTTCGATTGGGTGGCGAACGCGGTGGTGTACAACGGGCTATCCTACAACACGACTAATCTGGGTGTCTCCGATTACCTAGCTTTCTTCATTGGTAAAGGATTCTTCTCTCTCTCCCTCCTCGCCAATTTGCTCGTTAACATAAGTGCATCGCGATCTGAGATGAAAAAATTATTAATCATAATCCTGCATTAACATATTCTTCTTATCTTTATTGCAGGAGGAATCGTGGAGATTCCGTCGTACTTTATTACGTGGTACGCAATGGACAGATTGGGCAGGCGATGGGTACTATGCGTGACTATGATGCTTGGTGGGCTCGCTTGCGTGTCCTGCATGTTCGTGCCCGAAGGTACTATTTTGTCGATTTACGTCTTCATTCAAACAGTCTTTAGCGAACAGAAATAATTTTACATCTCTCTGAACAACTTCAGAATTATTTCAAATATTTAAATGTAATTATTTATTTTGTCGTATCGCACGTACGTGGATATGGAACGCCGGATATGATATCCCTAACACCGACCGGGAGAAAATGTATGATGACGACCGTTTACCACGTTGCTCATCTCCACGTTATTCGATTATCTCCGCGGGATAAAATTGAATAAAAGTATTAAGCCGAATCGCACGCCTTTGCGTCATGGCGGCCTCAACGTCATTACCTTATTGAATTCGTCATGATATTGTCACACGTCCAACGGTGTGAGAGGCAATTACTGTTGCCGACGTCACGACGTTTATGAATAAACGTTCGACCTGCTTATAAATTAGTTACCGTCATGCCGCACGCATACTTAGCTCTTCTCTCCTCGGAAACCCACGATATTCACAGAAATCTCAAATTTTCGTTAAAAAGAAGATAGGAGAAATTTAAGGAATGGTAAAATGACATGAGCGAACAAAATCAGGACTTAAAGATTCCATCCATGGAATCACACATCCTGTATACATGATCGGCCTTTGTCGCAGCAGACGCGGTCTGGGTGACTGTGAGCCTGGCGATGATCGGCAAATTCGGCATCGCTGCGTCCTTCGCCGTCTTCTACGTCTTCGTCGGCGAGCTGCTGCCGACCGTACTGAGGTCCCAGGCGATGGGCATTGCCTCCTTCATCGCCGGTATCGGCCTCCTCACCTTCCCCTACATCGTTCATTTGGCGGTCTACTCGAGAGTCTTACCCCTGATCGTGATGGGATCGCTGAGCCTCGCCGGTGCTCTCACTTCCGTATTCCTGCCGGAGACGCTCAATATCCATCTGCCGCAGACGGTCGAGGAGGGCGAGCTCTTCGGGGCTGATTTCAAGCTGTGGTCCTGCCCGACGATACCAAAGTTAGTAATGTCACTGAAAGGTTTGGCACGTTGTAGAATGTAAAAAGGAATTTTATTTTCAAGAAAGAGAACTCTCAAAAAACAATTTTCTTATGTAATTAAATTTGTTTTATAGTAGATTCTTCGATTTTATTTTTAAATTGTTTTCGACGAATTTCATTCTTTTATTATTATTTTATAGTAATATTAATGATCGTCTTCTTCATGTTTACATTAACAAACTTGGTACCGATACTTGCTATCGGTTTCAGGAAAGGTTCAAGCAAGTCCGAGTCCATGCCGTTGAAGTACTTAGTGAACGGCGGACCGGGTAGTCGCTCGTCTACCTCGAAGGTCGCGTCGCAGGAAGGCGCGACTACGTCAGAGGGCGAGAAGCCAGCTGCCGTGCTGCCCTCGAAGGAAGAAGAGGCGAAGAACTTAAGCGCTCCACCAAAGGCGGAGGAGCTGACGAATGTCGAGGTCGTCGGGCCGAAGACGGCTAGCGTGGTGGTGGAAGTGTCCGTGTGCCGGAAGTCGCAATGAGAGACGAGGACGGGATAAACAGACAGTCTTATAATTAACTCTTTACAACGTTGTATCATAATTACCAGTATAGGACACGCATTGTATTTATTTTTCCATTTATTATAATGTACTTCCTTTGTAAAACCTGCCTGAGTTTGTCGACTAGAGCACGATTCAATCCCCGTGTGTTTTTTTTTTCTACGCTGCTGAAGAGTGCTTCCAACTTCGTCGCGGTGTGTGTGCGTGTACATTGCGTGTGATTGATAACGCTCCGTGCGAGGATTAACGTCCCGGGATCTACGAGAACTCCAGAGTGTAACGCTATACTTTTTTATTTGTTCGGTTAAACGTCGATTTTACATTTTGTCCTTATTAAGAAGATCTTGTTGTGATTTTAATTAGTTTAAATAAAATATCTTAATATCTATTGAGACGGATAATCGTCTGAGAAACCTTGCATGATCAATATTTCACGTTCTATAATACCATGAATAATAAGTAGAAAATTATACAGGTGGCCAGACAGTCACCAAGGAGAACTTGGCAGTCGCCTGTTTTCTGTTTTAATGACATCTTAGGCAAGTCCGCGATCTCCTCGTTTTATCATCCTTGAATTTTGAGGACCGACTTCTTCCACGGCTAGTAGAATAATCATTATTGAACTCCGTGCAATTATTTTGTTCAAAAATTTCAGAATAACTAATACAAAATGCGTGAAATTGTTCACATCCAAGCCGGTCAATGCGGCAATCAAATTGGCGCCAAGGTTAGTATCCCTCAAAATATATAATACGATAATGTCAATCTTGATTAGTTAATTTGTAGTAGCTGATATCTATATCACATTTAAGCATAACATTATGTTTCGAATAAATATCTTTAAAAACCTTATATATATAAAATTTAATTATTAATTTACATAAATTTACATAAATTTTTTAAAACATTTAGTTAAAAATAACACTTATATAATTAAATATACAACACTCTTATTACGATCATTCTTTTCTCGATTAACAATTCACATTTCTGTCTTTTCTATTATTGTATACCAATATATCTCTCTTCTCACAATTTAATTCTTAATTATTCCTAACCATTCGCAGTTCTGGGAGGTGATTTCAGATGAACACGGCATTGATCCTACGGGCATCTACAAAGGAGACTCGGAGTTCGACTCGAAACTTCAGCTGGAACGGATCAACGTCTACTACAATGAGGCGTCCGGCGGCAAATACGTGCCGCGTGCCATCCTCGTCGATCTGGAACCCGGTACCATGGACTCCGTGCGCTCGGGACCCTTCGGACAGATATTCCGACCGGACAACTTCGTGTTCGGCCAGTCGGGGGCCGGCAACAACTGGGCCAAGGGTCACTACACCGAGGGCGCGGAGCTCGTCGACTCGGTGCTCGACGTGGTGAGGAAGGAGGCCGAGAGCTGCGACTGCTTGCAGGGATTCCAGCTCACGCACTCCTTGGGCGGCGGTACTGGATCCGGAATGGGCACTCTGCTCATCACGAAGATACGAGAAGAGTACCCGGACAGGATCATGAGCACCTTCTCCGTGGTACCGTCTCCCAAGGTTTCCGACACGGTCGTGGAACCCTATAACGCTACCCTGTCGGTTCACCAACTGGTGGAGAACAGTGATCAAGCTTATTGCATCGACAATGAAGCACTCTACGACATTTGCTTCCGTACTTTGAAACTGACTACTCCCACGTACGGCGATTTGAATCACCTCGTGTCGGCTACCATGTCCGGCGTAACAACCTGTCTAAGGTCTATAATACATAAATGATGATTATTAAATTTAAACAAATTATTAATATAATAATAAAAATACGGATAAAAATATTGTAAATCAATACGTAATTTATCTTAAATGGGTACAGATTTCCAGGTCAATTAAACGCCGATTTGAGGAAACTCGCGGTGAACATGGTGCCGTTTCCCCGTCTCCACTTCTTCATGCCAGGTTTCGCGCCTCTCACGTCCCGCGGGAGCCAACAGTACCGTTCCCTCACCGTGCCGGAGCTCACGCAGCAAATGTTCGACGCGAAAAACATGATGGCGGCCTGCGATCCGCGCCACGGTCGTTATCTCACCGTGGCGGCCATCTTCCGCGGCAGGATGTCGATGAAGGAGGTGGACGAGCAGATGCTCAACATACAAAACAAGAACAGCTCGTACTTCGTCGAGTGGATACCGAACAACGTGAAGACGGCGGTGTGCGACATTCCGCCGCGCGGCCTCAAGATGTCCGCCACTTTTATCGGCAACTCCACGGCTATTCAGGAGCTGTTCAAGAGGATCTCCGAGCAGTTCACGGCGATGTTCAGGAGGAAGGCCTTCCTCCACTGGTACACCGGCGAGGGTATGGACGAGATGGAGTTCAACGAGGCGGAATCGAACATGAACGATCTGGTGTCGGAATATCAGCAGTATCAAGACGCGATGGCGGAAGACTACGAAGAAGTGGATGAAGAGGAAATAGAAAATTAGAAGAGAGAGGAATCTAACACGGAAGATCGCGCGCACTTGCGCAATTCTTTGACGATTCTTTTGTACAATATTTTTGTATCTGTTATTTTTACGTTTTTTAATGAATGTTTTACACCGTTTTGTATATATGTTGTCCGTATACACGAATTTTTAGATTTTTTAATGATTTGTATGCTTACTTTGGTGAAGTTTATAAAAGACAATACTTATTGAAAAAACTCCAAATTGGTCTTTCGATTTAATATTGCAGTGGATTCTTCTAAGTACGCTGTATTTTAATGCTTAAGGAATTTACACGACTCAATTAAGGCTCTTTGTTACACAGATAATATCATCTCTATCAGTTAATGACATTGTACGAAGCTCGATATAAATACGCCTCTTAAATAAGACAAGTAAACGCTGGCGTTTAGGCGCGAGTCTCGTTATCGAACTCGTTATCGTCCTTCTGGTCAACTGACATTGATGAAGCCAAGGCCTCGGCAAAAATTGGCGATCACGCATTATCTCATCGGTGCCCCGAGGGCAAACACTTTATTATTGCGTACAATAAAGGAGAACGCGTGTTATTGCGCGTGTTATTTCTCACCGTAGCTACTATCTTCAGAGGTAAAATGTCGCCCAATCTATATGATATGTAATACATTAAAAGTATAAGATTACATTTTATCCCGTATTCTTTAAATAATATATAAATCATAAACGATAAAGAAATATACAGCGCGTGAGGAGAGTCTTTTTTAATTTTGACAAGATATAATTTCTTTTAGATAAGGAAATATTGAAAATGCAGAATAATAAAAAGTACTTCGCCAAAATTGGATTTTAAATTAATTACTATATGCAAAATAACGACGCATAAATTTAAACTTTTTTGAAAAAAGTTATCTCCATTGATATATAAGCAAATCGATTAATATCGACGTTTTCAAAACGCATTGTGATTTGTAAAAAATATAGATACTATCGAGATTGAATAAAATTGCTGTACGTAAAATTGTGTATTGCAATATAAAAAATCTAAATATGTAGTACAAGGGTTATCAAAAATTTAGTAGGTACTACAATATTGAGAAAAATTATGGAAAAGGGAATTCAAAATGACTTTTTTCCATTACAGTTTGACATTTCATTCTTTCGTGGCTATAAATACAAAAATTTGATTTTTCAACGATTTTTATTACACTCCAGTCTATGCCATATATTCCTCCAAATGACATATCAAAATCCTTATGATTATCACTAGTAAAGCTGAATATAACATAGGCGTATCATAGATACATAATACAAGATCAATAGAAGAAGCTATTTTACATTCTAAATAATATTATTCTTCGCATTAATTTAATATTCGTCGCGACATCATTTGCCTTCGAATATTGATTTTTATAAATATATTTCGGTATCACACGATTCGTAAAAAAGTAATCTCGAACGCCTATATTACGTCCGTCTCAGCGATTACAAAGCGCATCGCATATCGTATATAAAAGTATCAAAAGACGGCTTTTCGCGAGCTGCGCACGATCGGTCTCATGCGAAAGCTCCTACGATGACGAGACAGAGACAGAGAGGCTGAAGATAAACCTCTAGTAAAAAAGAAAACTGGTCGCTGGTTTCAGTTTTCCTGCTCGCAGGTCTCGAAGTCGTCAGCGCACTCCTCCACCTCGAAGTCCTCCTCCGCCGTAGCTTCCTGGTACTGCTGGTACTCGGACACCAGATCGTTCATATTGGACTCGGCCTCGGTGAACTCCATCTCGTCCATACCCTCGCCGGTGTACCAGTGGAGGAAGGCCTTTCTCCTGAACATCGCCGTGAACTGCTCGGAGATCCTCTTGAACAGCTCCTGTATGGCGGTGGTGTTGCCGATGAAGGTCGACGACATCTTCAGGCCCTTCGGCGGGATGTCGCATACCGCCGTCTTCACGTTGTTCGGTATCCACTCGACGAAGTACGAGCTGTTCTTGTTCTGCACGCTGAGCATCTGCTCGTCCACCTCCTTCATCGACATCCTGCCGCGGAAGACGGCCGCCACGGTGAGGTATCGGCCGTGGCGCGGATCGCAGGCCGCCATCATGTTCTTCGCGTCGAACATCTGCTGCGTGAGCTCTGGCACGGAGAGCGCGGAATATTGCTGCATGGACCGGGATGTCAGAGGCGCGAAGCCCGGCATGAAGAAGTGCAAACGTGGGAAGGGCACCATGTTCACCGCGAGCTTCCGCAGATCGGCGTTCAGCTGGCCGGGAAACCTGAAGAAGTCAAAATACGCTTTATTCGTGAACCATGCTTGTGAGATAAAAGTTTTATTATTGGCGAATCCATATTATTCTCTCGACAAAGATTATTAGTTGATATACTGTTATTTAAAACAAGAAAAAATATTTTCTATTTTACGTATTGCTATTTCTTCATCTACGTCATGTATTGATAATTAGAAGAATTGTATTTTTTCTTTTACAAATTCGCTTATTACTGTCATGGATTTTTTATGCACACCTAAGACAAGTGGTTACTCCGGACATAGTGAGCGAGACCAGGTGATTGAGGTCGCCGTAACTCGGGTTGGAAACCTTCAAAGTGCGGAAGCAGATGTCGTACAGGGCCTCGTTATCGATACAATACGTCTCGTCGGTGTTCTCCACCAATTGATGCACCGACAGGGTCGCGTTATAGGGCTCCACGACGGTATCGGACACTTTGGGCGACGGCATCACCGAGTAAGTGTTCATAATCCGGTCGGGATACTCCTCGCGGATCTTCGAGATCAGCAGGGTGCCCATTCCGGACCCGGTCCCACCGCCCAGCGAGTGGGTGAGTTGGAAACCTTGCAGGCAGTCGCAGTTCTCGCACTCCTTTCGCACCACGTCGAGGACAGAGTCGACCAGCTCGGCACCCTCGGTGTAGTGGCCCTTCGCCCAGTTGTTACCCGCCCCGGATTGCCCGAACACGAAGTTGTCCGGTCTAAAGAGCTTTCCGTAAGCGCCGGAACGAACGGCGTCCATCGTTCCCGGCTCCAAGTCCAGCAGGATCGCGCGCGGTACATACTTCCCCCCATTCGTGGACGTCGCGACTGTAATGGGGAAAAAGAAAAACGAAATGAAAAGTCAAATAATATACATTTGCTCATTCAGATATTTTAGAAGTACAAGAGATGCGTAAAGATATTCGAAAAAAGAACAACTTCTAAAATATTTTGCTAAGTAAAAAAAGCAGTAAAATCTCTTTTTCTATTGCTAAATATATGTATTGAAATAACGATGAATAGAATGTAATATGATGAATTGTACTCAATAGTCGCGGTGATTCAAGACGTCAAGACGTCCATATTAGATTGACCGATATTGTTATGCTACTGAAAAGTCGTGCCGATCATAATATAATCGACGGAAATGCGTACATGGATGGAACCTTTATCGTTTGCAAATGAAAAGCTATCGTAGGATAATATGAAGATTTATATATTAGGCGACTAATTAGCATTACAATGTAAAATTATTTTAATTTTATGGTAGATATGAATAATCATAATTAATAACGATAAAATATATGTACTTTTACTTTTAATCAGTTTCTGATAAAATATTTCGTATTAATTATCAGTGCTTAGTAGAATGTTTGATTGAATAACATGATTGAATATAATATGGCTCTGAAAATATAAATTAAATAGAAAAGAAAGATACAAATGTAAAAACTTAAAGACATGAGTTTTTTCCGCATATATTTGAATCTATTTCCAACAACAAGTCACTCACGACGACGGGTGGTGCGTACATTTCACTCGTTTGTTAATTAAACTGTTTCTACCGTGGAGCACGTGCCGCACGTTTCATTCTCGGAAATAATCTCGTTTTCGCGACGCGAACAAGAAGTCCTGAGAAATCGTGTTGCAGCCGCAACTTACAACCTTAAATTCGACCACGGAGAGACGGCTATTTTCAGCGTAAAATACGTGTCTCAACGCTCCTCTTCTCCCACATTCCGTCGGTGCAGGACACGCGATTTTCTATCTTTCTCGTTACTGCTATTTTCGACGCGAAGGCAGTAGAATCCGCCGAAGTAATTAAAAAGATTCTGTGCAATTTATCTCTTTAATTAGTCTTAATTAAATTATCTAGTTAAGGTGTTATTATGTCTACTTTCTTGTCGTTTTTAATATTCCTATTTTAAACTGTATGTTCATCCTTGTGCGTATCTTTCAACTAAGAAGTCAGATATATCAAGTAATCTGTTATATATTATTATGTTTGTTAATTTATTTGAAATTAATTATTTAAAAATGTTTCTTGCAAATATGAGAAAATATTTTTCGAACTCGGTCCGTATAAATAAATAAATAAATTCCAACTCCAAATATGCTGTTAAATTCGTAGTGTCAAATTATACTCAAGTTGAATCATTTTTAACTAGATCTATAGGTCACCACTGCTTCTAATTCAATATGTCGTTTAATTTAATTAAAACAATGTTAATTTAATAACTGAACCAATGGAGTTAAAATAATACTGTTTTATGTTAAAATAATAAATTTTGACACACATGGTAGTTAAAAATAACAAAATTTTATTTAATGCAAGGTTCAAATTTCATCCTTCAATATTTGACAGTGTAACAGACTGAATTTAAAATAAATTATAATCTGCTCTATATAAAGAACGAAGAAAGAAGAAGAACACGCAAGCTGTAATATTTACATATGCCCTTACCAGACGCTTCATTATAGTACACGGAAATTCGTTCGAGCTGCAGATCGCTGTCACCGTGATAAATGCCCGACTGGTCGATGCCGTGCTCTTCAGAAATAACTTCCCAGAACTGCAACGTGATTTGTCAACATTAACATTTTGGAAGCCAACTGTTTAAACAGAGTCTATACTTATTTCCGAACATATCCGAACATATCCAGTATAATCTAACCGGAAAAGTAGTTCAATACAAGAATATAGCAAGTGTCTCTTAATGTTTTGTAAATATATAGCTTATCGTAGGTTTATTTTACTACACTTTTCCTGCGAGCCACTCGACGTGTCGAAGGGGCAATTTCCCTCCGAAGCCGAGCGCGCGTGCACCCCGAACTCCGGGGACAAGGATAACACGCGCGACATCCAAAAATAGAGACGTACGGAATTAAACGCGGCCTGTGCCCCCTGGCTCATGTCCACCCTCCCGTTAAACATTTCTCCTCTCCATTTGTCTTGTCTTTACTATTTTCTCCGCCTATTAATAGCGAGCCGGTGTGCCGGTCGCCTCGGCCGCCGCCTCTCGGCGAAATGGGCCTCTCTGATTATTCTAAATGCATCCTCGCTGCATTTACGTGCATCACGTACGCGACGCTCATTATCGCACGAACATGAATAGAGATTAGTCATTCGTCGCACGAATTCGTCGAGATAGAGAATTTGTTTTACAAACTGGTATTTTACTGGGAATATATTGTCGCGCATATCAGATATGAAGAAAAATTAGGTTTAATAGATTCTTAAGAAGATTTTACGTTGATGCTCGGACTCGCGTAAAACGTGAAACTGTGGTATAATTATTATCGCTTGACCGATTCACTGATCGTTTCCTAGCGAGACTATCTTGGCTTTTCAACCGGTGTTTCGATTACTCGAGGAACATCGTCGTACAATCATCGTGTAGATCACGACTGTGTCCGTAATCCTACAGGAACTTCGCTTTTGCTTGCTGCGATCGTTAAAATCTTTCGAGCGGAAAACGATGCCGTGAAACCGACGATAGATCCACGAAGAGAAGGGACGATCCTTTTCAAAGAAGATGATCTTACGAGCGCTTCACTTTCTGGATCGACAGAAATAATGCGTCCAGTGATTGGCGAAAATCGAATCAGTAGGATTGACAGATCGATTCGTTCGAACGAGTGACGTACTTTCCTCGCGCGTCTCACATCTTTTTTATCAATCATTTGTTTTTAGATTTCTAATGATAAAATATCTTTCTAATCTAAATCTAGTAAATATAGATAGAAATTGAGGGCTATATATGTAAAAGCAATTATTAATAAGCTTCTTTAATTAATTAATGGATAAATATGCCTTTCGTATCAATTTAGTGTAATATTGCTATCCGATTATATTATTTCTCATTCATATTCTCGAACTAACTTTACTTGGCTTTTACTATACTATTGGTAAAAAAATTTTTCTGACTCATTGGGTTGGTACTCCGTATTCTGGTTCACAATCTGGTATGCGTCATTGCCCGATGAGCAATGCCGCACGAAATATCAAGAAGCATCTTTTAATTCGTAACAAAGTTACACAGAAATTTGATAAGACATTATTTGCCGAAGATAAACCTCGATAAAGCAGAAAGTTTACTTTATTGAATGAAATTAAAAGTACGTGCCAGAGTAATTTTGATTTTATGAACTTTGTATTTCAATTAATAATTTAAACTGCTCGCAAAATTATAACAATAACGCAAAAATGTATGGGTATATATGGAACATCTCAAAATAGAGTCAAGAGCACAGAAATAAGATGATAAAGACACAGTAAGTTATTAAGATTATAAACTGCCTGATTTACGGAAGATGAAATTCCTTGATATTGTCTGTGAAATAACAAATGTAATTGCGATGGATGTATCGCGTCCAGATTGTCACGCCTACGAACACGATCAATGAGATTAGCGCATCTGTAGTGCTTCGCGATAATACTAGCTTCGTATAATGTGTCGAATAACGCACCTTATTCAGACTCAACCGGCACTAAAATTAATTAACAGTAACACTCAATTTCAGCTACGCATCGGTCTACGGCTTCGCGATATAATTATCCGATTTAAGCCTCAGAAACTATTTTTTTATGGTCGTATTATAAACAGCTTTTTATATTTGTCCAAGACGCAGAATTAATTTAATTTTTCATACAATTGACTTATTTATTCCAAAAATGAATTTCGAGACGTGCACTTCCACGCCCACTCATTTTCACGCCGATGAACGGTGAACGCGATTACTGCAGAATCTTAAGTGTTTTTCAAGTATACGCGATCGTCGTTTCCTGCCATCGTGTGCCGGCGCGATTATAACTTGGATCACTTCGCGCACTTCGGTCGAAGGGGGTCTTCAATGTCGAGTGCGGTTCTTTAAATTTCATTCGTTGCGCGCCGCCTTATCTTCAATTCGATTACAGCCACGGTCGAACGTTATGTACCATCAAGTAAGATTGCTTTTTTTTATGGAGCGACGTAACGTACATGCGTTCTTGCCGGTTATTGCTCCACCGAGTTTATCGATTTTGTCCAGAAAGATGAAGAATAGGACGAATTTATGGAAATAACTTTTTTTTTATTATTAGAATAATATAACGCGTTCAATAAGATAATGTACAAAAATATTTAATTTAAAAAGGATTGTATCCCATAAAGATCGAAGTGACCATTTGACGGATAGTTTCCGGTGTGTCGCTTATTTGAATATAAAAAAAAATGGCAAGAGGGTCTGAAGAGTGCCGAAAACCACGAGAGTGTCTCGAGCGAACTCGTTGATCGATGCCTCGAAGACGATGAGTCATAATACTTGACTTGTTCTGACTTGTTCGCGCTTTAATTGACAGTCGTCTGTCGTCTCGGTACGAAGTAAAACGGATTTACAGTTAATTTCCGGACACCGCGTATCTTTTAAATAGATAATTTATTCTTGTCCCATCGACGCTTCTGTACTCCACACCTTATTGAATGTGTAAATGTGTACCCGAATAAATCACTTCCATTCATGCTTCTGAGTTTTGATACTGAAGCTATTGACTGTTTGCATCTTTTAATCACTGAATTAAAAACTCGCCCGCGGATTTAAAACTATTTCATCAATTATTAAATATTCATTATAAAATTCTGATATTAGAATATTCAATATAAAAATTCCTCGATACTTTCTTTTGACAATCTATTTTTATCTAAAACGCTTCCTTTTATCAAAATTGGATAAAAACATATAAAGGTACGATTTGAAATCTGTTGCAGAATTTGTCATTAAAATACATCGCACCAGTATGACGTGTGCAAGAATATTGTCGATATTTAAAAGATACGAAGGCTATGAAATAAATAAAATAAAAGTATCGCTGTCTCGATAAATTATCTCTTAAATTTTCGCCAAGGAAAATGGTCCCATTAAAATACCAAGGTATCCCGGTATGTTTTATGAAATTCTTTTCGTATGCGTGTGAAAATGTATGAAGCGTAGAAAAAGATGTCTTTTCAGAGCTGTCGTGTCGACCTACCTTCGCGCCGATCTGGTTGCCGCATTGTCCAGCCTGCAGATGCACGATCTCCCTCATCCTGTCTTCCTTTCAGCGCGGAAAAGCGGTACGGGGCGAGAGGGAAAACAGCTGATCTCTCCTGCTGGACCTGCCGGGAACCTTCTCTGTCTTGTGCCGTGGGTGCTAAGGATCCGTGCGTGCGCGCTCGGCGTGTCGGACCGGAGTGCGTGCGTGCGGCTGAATGCAACCGAGCCGAGGAGTGCAGCCAGCCGAGTCGCGAGTCGAGCCTGAGAATGAACGACGAAGCGGTATTCGTGACGTGAGGGAAACGCACTCGTGAGTCGTGCCGGCGTCCTGAGCTCCACTCTCCCGAGGTGAATCTACCACTCGACGACGCGACGTCGGGATCAAGCCTCGGGAGAGGAGCGGGGAGGAGTCCGTCGTCGCGACGGAAGAAGGAGGAAAGAGAGAGAGAGAGAGCGAGAAAGAGGGTGAAGGAACGGACGAGCGTCGGCTGATAAGCGGCGCGAGAGTAAACGGGAAGGAAAAACGTAGGGGGTTTGTTCTTGCTCCGGGGTTACATCCCCCGAAAAGGGGGACGCATGCCGAACCCCGTACGTATGCACAAATCTGCGCATATCCCTCGAGTACCGCTTCCAGTCGGTTTGTCTCTTCTCGCTAAATGCGCGAGGCTTAATCTGGTCAGCAAAGCGAATGGTCATTTTTTTTATCGGCAGCGTGTTTTTTCCAGCATTTCCGAAATTGGGCCTTTGAAAAATAAGTAATTAATAACGCGTATTAATCACCGCTGCAAATTAATTCCCGGAAGCTGCGGGCCAATTACGGCTCGCGTGCGAAATATTGTTCGATGCGTCGCGAGACCGTACGATTATTCTTTATATCGAATTACCTTGAAGCTCATTCACCGGAACTGTAACAGGAGATAGAACTTCTCTCTCTCTCTCTCTCTCTCTCTCTCTCTTTTTTTCCTTTTTTTTGGAAAGTATTTCCTCCTGGTTGAATGCAGGCGAAGGTATCAGTGGTATCATGTTTAACGGAAGCGTTTCGGTCACATGAATTCTGGGGCAACACACATGCGTGTCCGCTAATGTCTATAATTACCACCGACGCATGCAAATGTCAGGATGTAATAGAAATGAAATATAAGATTAAATATAGAATAGCACGTTTAATTATAACAATTTTACAGTTTAATCGCTTTGCCGAACTTTCAGATAATTATCACGTGCATTATGTACAGCTAATTAAATTAATACCACAGTTAATATATATATTAATATTCTTCAGTTATTTAGTAATTAAAAACTTATTTTTACGCCTGTGTAGCAGAATTTCGTACCATTTTCTACAAGTATAATATGATTGATGGAAACTATTTAAATGGAAATATTTGACATATTTTTCTACTAACATCAGACGTTTCGTGCTTAAGTAGTAATGGCCAGTTTAATCGTCGTCTCAAGTTACAACGCACAATTGGCTGTAACGCGCGGGAACGCATCTACGCGGTCGCGTACCGCGAATTCTTGGAGCAGGATGTCGGGCTTAAAAAGATTCCAAAAGTACACGGCCGGAGTCAGACGCTATGGGGGTCTTTATCTCGTGAGTCACTATTCAAGCAGCGCTTTCCTCGTCGAAGATGATGATAATCGAGATAGTCGTCGCGTTCCGTCTCCAGCTGTGCGCCGGGCTCCTTCGCGGTCTTCCCTCGACGTCGTAAAAGACTCACCTCCGTCTATTATTGTAACGTCTGTCCTCAGCTCCCGTTAACATCCGCGTCGTCGTCGGCGCGACGCGACGTGCGCGGTCACTCGCTCGATATTCGGGAAGAAATCGGTGAGACAAACCGCGCTTTTTGTCAAACGGAGCAACGAAACAATTGCTACACAGAAAAAAGAGGTGTCAATTCCCGAGTCGAAATTTTAGACCTATTTTTGACCTAAATTTTCTAACATCTGTAGATGCTAGAGGATCAATGTAGGTTTAATTTACATGGAAACTTTAGTCCTACTTAGTGTCTCTAAAATAGCAAAAAACGTATGAAATGCTACTTGTAGGTTCTAAAGGACCTGGAGGCTTTTACGAAGCTTTACTGAAGTCCTCTTTAGAAACCTATAAGTAGCATTTTGTACGTTTTCTGCTATTTTAGAGACGCTAAGTAGAACTAAAAGTTTCCATGTAAATTAAACATTGATCTTCTAGTATATGTACTCAACAATCTATAATCTTGGAAATGAGATTATATCGCGTTAAACAATAGTTCAATCAACGAAAAAGAGTTGAAATAAAAAGTTGAAATTCTTAATCGGAAAAGCTGAAACTCTTATAAGATTATATGTTGCGTATATCAAAGTATATATGCATATAAGTTTTAATTTGACATTTCTTCTTTTCTGTACATATCGACCCTCTGCCAGAGGGTACGGGTGATTAAATAAAACTGCGAGATCATTTTCGCAATCGCGTGCGTTAATTTCTGATATTTTTATGGGGGTACTTCGAAGTCTGGGCGTCGAAGATTAAACCTGCATTTTCCCGGGACGCGCTTCTCTGTTTAGAAATATTTTAGATAAAATGACACTTTAGAGAAAGAAAATTTCGATGAAATTGAATTATATTTTGGGAAGGGACTACGCGCGAGTCGGTATTTGGCACGATAGGCAGGAAACGATGCTTATCTCTTATTTCTTAATGAGCTAGGCACGTACGACGCGTACTTTGTTATTGCGTGCGGCGCCTGGCGATGGATCGAATTCGTAAGACGAGACGGTCGACATACAGCGAGACACGCGATGAGTCATGTCGCCTCTATTAAGGTCGATGTCTGCGTCTTATCAAAGGCGAACGGTCAAAATCGAATCCGATAATTTTCCGTACACGTCGCACGATTTACGTCATTTATAATAACAAATATATTTATAATTCGTCCTATCAAGTAATTATTTATGTTTGTATTTTATTATTTTATTTATATTTTCTTTATCTATAGTTATATATAATTACGAAATTTTAAGTTTCTTTGCACGCTCTGATGCTGCGCGAAAATCACGAAGCAATCATAAAATGAGCTGATCGTTAAAACAGCAGAATCAATTTAGGGGAACCGAAGATCGTGGGAGAATGTCACGCGGGCCACGGAGGCGGTGGTCAATTGTGCGAAATTAGAGGACTGAGATAAGGTAATAATCTCGGGCTAGGGGGGAAGGAGGCGCGACCGGAAGCGCAGGGTCGCAACGCGGTCGCGGTTATTTCCAACTTTGAGCGCCAGCTCGAGTTTCTTGCATGCCGACTACTGTCCCGGACGAAAATGCAACACATCGTCGCATTTTTCGACTCTGTACGCGTTTGGTCCATGAAACGCTTATGTCGATCTTAGCGCGAAACGCGCTGATTCCGTCGGCTTAACTGTATCTTCGTATTCTCCGTTAATCCGTTAGCTCGCCAACCGGAGCGATGCGCTCGACATTCCTTCGTTACCGCAGCGCGGATGCAAAGCGTTTTGCTTTCGCCATGATGGCGAAGCAATACCTCGCGGCCGCTAAAGTGGCGCAATTACCATCTCATGCGAGAATTCGCTGAACTCTGCGAGATGTAAGACGCGTACATTTAATGTGGATTAATTTTACGAGTAGTCATAATTAAATATCATTATTGTTCCTCAACGGTAATTATTGTGCGGAGAAAGCGAAAATATGAGAGACGGTAAATGAAATTATCGGCTTTCAAGATTAACGTATGATAAATAAGTACCGAAAAATTGCGTGTAGTAAAAGTTTGGTAGAGTTAATTTGTAACTTCCGTCGGTAAGACGCGGTCGGTGCTTCCCATTTTTACTAGCACTGGTAATTATGTAGCAATTAGTCTATTAAAAAATTTGAAATCGTGTTGCTCGATAAAAATACAGATGTCTCTGAAATACAGATAAATCAATAAGGATGACTCTCCAAATAGGCCTGCCCGTGTTTTGTATTTTTATAATAAAAAAAATAAGGGCGACTTTCCTGTAGAGATGACTGATTTGCAATCATTTGACACATTTAGGCATACTTTTTTTAGATTCATACATTTACATATTGCATACACTTAGATGCATATAATTTTGTAAACCATAAAAAAAATTTAATTTAGTGCAATAAACATTTGAGAAAAAGTGGAACATATGTATATGTATAACTTAATTTAAAAATAGAAACGAGACTCTGATAGCTGATATAAATGCAGCAAGATAGCGAAAGCCAAAGATCGTTTATTTATATTTCTTTCAGTTAAAAAAAAAAAAGCGATTTTTCGATCAAATTTATTAAAATACTCGTCAATTAATTCAACGAGCAAAATTATTCGTAACACTTCTAACTGTATAACTAGATCATATAAAATTAATTATGTATATAATTCATCGTTCTTAATCTCTAATCTTTCTTTCCGAATGTCAAACAATAAAAATTCAATAATCCTATTCAATGTCAATAAGATAATGGAGATATCACTTGACAAGTTAATCGCCAATTCATCAGTGATTTCGATATCGAAAACGAACGGAATGTCACACCGGGCCGTTTTTAGTTATGGAAAATACACACTTGAAAAAATAACTTAATAAATGTCGAGTCCAACTAATGTATCTTATTTCTGTGTCGATCTAAATTTCAAGTAAATTATTGTAATAATTGCAGTGCTCGTACATTTATTCAAAACTCATTTTTTTGCAATCGTGCCATTTATCCCGTAAATATTTTCAAATTCTAGCTTTAACATACTAGATATATGTATATAACTGAATGTCTAATCAATACTCTCTTCGTATATTTCATGGATCTTTATTCACACCTATTTTATCATGGTATAAAATTGCGTATGACAACAGACGAATATAAATATATACGAAATCTCCGAAAATACAAAACTCAATAGCACTAGTCTAGAGGTCTGTGTAATAATCAGGGTAGTGCGAGTGACGACAGATTCATATGATAATAATTTATTCAAATATGTAGCGGCCGCTCTCGGCGGTTGTACAGTGGATGATGATAGGGGCGCGCGAGAATTAGTAATCGAAAGTAATCTTGTAGAAAGACACAATCAAAAATAATAAATCATTCTTCGAATTATCGCACTAGGTGCAATATTGACAGGCAGCAACGAAAAACGCGCGCGCGCTCCGCGAAAGTTCGAAACAGAAGTCCGTAAAAAAAGATACAAAAGAGAGAGATAACACGAGTTAAGAAGCATGGGTGAAGGGTGTTTTGCGTTATCGCTCGGTCGAGAGAAAGAGAGAGAGAGAATAGGGAGAGTGTCGCTTCCGTCGCGGGATATATATTTTTTTTTTCTTAGTTCTCGTCGACCTCAGCTTCCTGCTCCTCGTCGAATTCTGCGTCCTCGTCCGCGGTAGCCTCCTGATACTGCTGGTACTCGGACACCAAGTCGTTCATGTTCGATTCGGCCTCAGTGAATTCCATCTCGTCCATGCCCTCGCCGGTGTACCAGTGAAGGAAAGCCTTTCTCCTGAACATGGCAGTGAACTGTTCAGAGATGCGCTTGAACAGTTCCTGGATGGCGGTGGAGTTGCCAATGAACGTGGCGGACATCTTGAGACCGCGCGGCGGGATATCGCACACGGCGGTCTTGACGTTGTTCGGTATCCACTCGACGAAGTACGAGCTGTTCTTGTTCTGAATGTTGAGCATTTGCTCGTCGACCTCCTTCATCGACATCCTACCGCGGAAGATGGCGGCGACTGTGAGGTACCTGCCGTGCCTAGGATCGCACGCTGCCATCATGTTCTTGGCGTCGAACATCTGTTGGGTGAGCTCCGGTACGGAGAGCGCTCTGTATTGTTGGCTGCCGCGAGATGTGAGAGGCGCGAAGCCAGGCATAAAGAAGTGGAGACGGGGGAAGGGCACCATGTTTACGGCAAGTTTCCTAAGATCGGCATTCAATTGTCCGGGGAACCTCAGACAGGTCGTTACACCGGACATCGTGAGGGAGACGAGATGGTTTAGATCGCCGTACGTCGGCGTCGACAGTTTCAGGGTGCGGAAGCAGATATCATAAAGGGCCTCGTTGTCGATACAGTAGGTCTCATCGGTGTTCTCGACGAGCTGGTGTACGGAGAGAGTGGCGTTATACGGTTCGACGACTGTATCGGACACCTTGGGCGACGGCACGACGGAATACGTGTTCATGATTCTGTCCGGGTATTCCTCGCGAATTTTCGAGATGAGCAGGGTACCCATACCGGAGCCGGTACCACCGCCCAGGGAGTGCGTGAGCTGGAATCCTTGCAGGCAGTCACAGCTCTCGGCCTCTTTTCTTACGACATCGAGGACAGAATCCACCAGCTCGGCGCCCTCGGTGTAATGGCCCTTGGCCCAGTTATTGCCAGCGCCGCTCTGACCGAACACGAAGTTGTCCGGTCTGAAGATCTGGCCGAACGGTCCCGAGCGCACGGAGTCCATGGTACCGGGTTCCAGATCGACGAGGATGGCACGCGGCACATATTTGCCGCCGGACGCCTCATTGTAGTAGACGTTGATTCTCTCCAGCTGGAGATCGGAGTCACCGTGGTAGGTGCCGGTCGGGTCAATGCCATGCTCGTCGCTTATGATTTCCCAAAACTGCAATACAAAAAAGTCACCTCGTAAGAATACTTCTATTAGAAAAAGAAACTTTACATCTTAATGTATCATTGCGGGCTAATAAGAAGCAGTTTATAGGCGCGAGATAACTGCTTCTTATATTCGATAAAGGAAATAAGGGGTACGACGCGTATTTCTTCGTCTAGCAAGTGCCGTACCGAGTCAGCGCTGCCATAAAAATTAGATACGCGTTCTGAATCACGCATCATCCGCGCGTAGGAAGGAAGCTTCGCGCACTGGCTTTCTCCCCGCAATTATCCTCGCATCCGTTTTCCAGCCTTCCATTGTACCAAGCGCGAACGGAGTTCGCCGTTCAACGACCTCGCGCGCACGGCGAATAACTCGCGTGTAATTAATCATAATATCTAGAGGCCCTCTAGTAATATCCCAAGGCCCGCGCATCGAATTACGTTTCTCTTTTTTTTCCCTTTCGCATTTTTTAAAGCGAGCCCGCCTCTCGATGGTGTAACCGAATCGCCCGAGCGATAATCGAGACTAATTAGTCCCGTAAGCGCGGTGTTACGCTCCTGTCTCGCAGCGGCCGGTCGATCGCCTCGTCGAAGCGCATCGCGATGCAATGGGTACGACGCTTCAGCAATGGACCACGTCGCCACGTAATCTCCCGGAAGCGCTCGTTTCACCGTGATAATCATAATCGGCACTTCAGACTGAAATGTCAATCGCTTGTAAATGTCTTTCAATTTAACGTCGCGATGAAGAGTGTAATTTTTTAAATTGAATACTTATGCACCCGGACAATCTCGAGTAATCCGTGAATGGCGAATCGCAAAAGATTTGCTGAAAGAGACAATATTTCAGTGTTCGCATACATTAATTAATATTAATGAAGCAAATTAATTTCTGATTGATTTCTACGTGCAAAGAAGATGGTTTGGGACTTTTCCCCCTTCCAATTAATTAGCAATTCAGAATGACTGGGCGTGTCTGATGCAACTCCTTATTTGCAAACAAAAGGGGAAATTAATTGCGAAATTGTCGGCGCATCGCGTGCGGTCCACGATGCATCTCCACTTCATCTCGGGAAACGCGGTTCAAGGACCCCGCGGTATATTTCTGGAAATCGACGTGCGAGAGATACGTGTATATTCTCCTAAGTATGTACAAGGGCACGCAAATAGAATGGCTAGACTAACGCAATTATAACGTCTTGATAGTTCAATTGTCTTATCATAGGGGATATCATGCAACTTTATGTCGGAGCGTGGCAAAATAACAAAATTACACGTCACTTGGCAAATTACTCGTCTCTAGTCACTCTCGACATTTCACAATCAAGACGCTCCATTACGGAAGTCGGCTGTTTCCAATTTGTCTGTCCTCAATTAGAAATTCGCAAAACGAAAAATGATTTCGCCATTTGCAGCTGTAGCTAACTGTGCATTTCGTAACTATCTATTCATTACAAAATTAGAAATGGTTAAAAGAATATTTTACTACATTATCGCATTCAATAAAGCTGATTTTAGTTTTTATTTTATATTTATTTAATAAGTTCTCAATCAAAGAGACAAAGTAAATAAGAACGTTGCAGACAGCCTTATCGCTGCGTCGCGACTTCCATCGAGTCAGTTTTTTTTTTTTTCCAAGAAACTGTCATTGAATAATCTCAAAGTCCATATACAATCTGCGTGAAAGTTACCGTAAAAACGCGCCAGGTCCGCCTACCGTTCGGTACGTACGTCCCACATGGAGACGATGGGTGTATTAAGCAGTGACCATATATGATCATCGTCGTTCGAAAGCTAAGATCACCTAACCCTATCTGTCCCCACCCAACTCCCCCTCTTCCTCTCCTTCTCCTCTTCCAGCCTGGCCGCGCAATGTATATGTTACAGTCAGATATGAGTCACCAATGTCACCGCTATATATAGAGATGATTGTAAAACGACAGTGCGATTAACATGAACGATGATCGTTCGGTTATGCACTGCAACGATCTGTTTGTCCATTTATTTTTAATTTTTCCCCATTTTTCTCGAGTCGAGTCTCGCACCTACGACTTCGACGTCGCCAACAGCTGGCGACAGACGCGGACCGTCGTCGTCGCGAGACCGGAAGCAGCGCGAAAGGTCGTACCGTTATTCTAAATGCATACACGTCGCCACGCGCGACGCTGCACTTACGCGTTGCGTAACCACCGAGCGGATACGCGATGCAATTGGTCCGATGCGAGTGATCCCGAGGGTCCCACTGACTTTAATGGATTGCCGCTTATGGCAGATGAAAGAGAGACGCTAAAGAGGAGAGCTAATTCGCCAAGGGTTGTCTATCCAGCTAGACTATACAGGAATGCGATGTATATATGTATATGTGTGACGTATATGTATGTATGTATGTATGTATGAAGAACAGTAGAACAATATAATTAGTATTTTCTAAAAAACTCCTATTTTATGTTTAACATTTTTTAAATTTCGTATTAAAATATATTTATTTAGTGTATATACATCATATATAAATACATGAATGTATATTTAAAGGAAAGGTTCTTAATGAGCCTAAGCATCGTTTAAGAATATTATGCCACAAAACGTGATTAGATAATGTAGCTAATAATAAATGGGATATGTTAAAACCATTTCCCGTTACAAAATGCACAATTCTATGAGAGCAGCTGGTTGTAACGGCACGAAGTGAATATTGGAGCTACACATGAGTGTATATAAATATATTTATATATGATGTATATATATATATGCACCAACTAGACAATCAAAATTAAAAAATGCTAAATATAAACTAGGAGTTCTTTAAAAAATACTAATTATACTGTTCTACTGTTCTCCAGAAAGTTTAGGTCGGAGGAATGTTATATTTCTTCTTTAAAAGAAAGATCCTTAAAGAGCCTAAGCATCGTTTAAGAATATTATGCCATAATAAGATAATGCAGCTGATAATAAATGGAAAATGTTAGGACTATTTCCCGTTGCAAAATGCACAATTCTATGAGAGCAGCTGGTTGTAACGGCACAAAGTGAATATTGGAGCTGTACTCCAATATGTTACAGCTACACGGAATAATAAAAACATTGAAGTAAACGGAAACAACGAATTCTATCGAGGATTCTATTTCATGTAGTTTATACGAATGCTTATGCTCGCGTGTAGAAATAATAACCATAATTAATTACGCATCTCGTTCGAATGGTAGATTTAGAACATATATTTTTGTAATTAAGGTAATATAAAGATTATAGAATCCCGTAAATGAGGGCGTAAACTGGACGCATTGATTACAAAGTACTCGCTCATAAATGCAACTTGATAATAAACCAGATCTATCTCTTAAAGAATACTTGCAATAAAAGATATTACTGTTACATATTACAAGACAGTAACATTTAGTTACGCTTTTCATCTTTATTAATGTAAGATACCATGTATTAATAGGTCGAGTGTCGTTTACAGATAATGTCAGTCAGCGATAGGATATTGTTAACGACTTCAATTATATTTATCCCGCTGCAACATCTATTTCGGGACTGAAACGCGATGGAAAAAAAGAAAACTGAAATCGTGAAATAGTAATCGTCATCGAGTCGCGACAGTAGGCGAAACCCCAGGCCTTTGCGACTCGACGCGATCGATACACCTGGCTATATCCAGCGAGAAAGAGAGGGCCGGCTTGTCGGCAACGAGCGAAACGGTTCGAAACGGGCCGAGGTGATGCGAAGGAAAATGGCGAGAGAGGATATCGCCGGCTTCCTTTATTTGGGAGCGCGTTGCCGTGCTAACGCCGAGACTCGGTGTCCTTGGACTCGAAGGCGTTCGTTAAATGGGCACATTCGTATATAGTGGTTACACAACAGGCTCGCGTAGATAGAAACCCAGGCCCTGCGACTACGCTAAATTTTTATCGTAATTTCGCCTCAATTTTCTCTAATGTTTTTTCGGCAGGCACGAGCTTCTTCTTGAAACACCCCTTATACGTCTTTTAATAAACAATTATCTTATCTCCTTTAGTATACTTTACCGGGGAATATTAAACGGTATATTTTGCGGTATATTGAACCAAATTCTTTCTTTATTACTGGAATTTGGACGAATAAAAGATGTTGAATATTTTATCAGCGGTATTGTATATAGCGTGAACACATGATATAACAAATTACTCTTAATTCCTGAATTTCCAGAATTGAAAGGTAAAAAATGAGGCTTTTAAACTGTACATATTTCTTATCGGTTCACGCATCCTCGTGATAACTGTCGGTTATCGGTAAATGTTATCGCAGATTTTGGACGAGTTGAAAATTGAAAACAAAGTGCATCGGAGAGTTTATCGCGAAAGCAATTGCTCGGGTTCTTCAGTTAGAAAACAATTTTCCATCTAATCGATATGCGTTCTCATTACTACTAGTTTGTTATAAAAAAGGGGGATGGTAAAAAAAATAGCCTTTGATGTTTACGCTAGCGTGACCTCGGATCGATCGAGATAGACAGCTTGAGAAACGGGCATTGACTTGGTGCAGCAGCCTTAAAAATTACGGAAGCGTGACGACAAACGTCGATCACCTTCTCCTCGATCCTGCAATCTTTATCGTCGCTTATTCAGATAAGATTAACAATCGTTGCAAAAGACCGACCTGCATCACGAACATGATTGCGTGGGCTTACGTGATCTTTACGTAAACAAATTTATATATAAACATTTGAATCATTACTCTCCAGGCTAAACTTATTTCCGTCCGTAGCGTTAAAGATATTTGTCGTTTTTAACCTTTATTCAGGCAAAAATTAAACCCGCGCTACCAGAAGCCGAATCTCACGTTTCTGTAAACGCGACGTTATTCGAATAACTTAATTTATTTATAAAAAAAAAATCGGAGACGGAGAGATCGATAAGTCGGCGAGAAGTGTGCGACGGTAAAAAGGGAATGAAGCGCGTGCACTTAGAAAACGGAGACGCCGATTCGCACGATTAGCGGCGGGGACTCCGAGCGTCCGAGCGTGTCCGACTCGTGATAACGCAGTGGCCAGCATTGGCCACGCGCGTCCGTCCGGTTGTCCGTTAACACGGCGCGTCGCATAAAAATTTTAAAATACACCACGCCATGCGACCGACGGACGCTGGCGTGGCCGTTAAACGCGATCGCGACGCCGCGCCGGGCGGCCGACGGACGCGGCGCAGGAATTCCATCTGCCCTTAAGGGGCGTGCACACCGCGACCGGACTGGAGGCGAAAACGTGCTAAGGGTTGCCTAAGTCGCGCGATTCTCACGAATGCTCGGAACGATTGGATCGAAAGATCTGGAAGATCTCGCGAAGAGGAAATTTTACAACAGTTGCAAAACAGTTAATTGCTACTTAGGCTGCGGTCCATTTGACGCTACGAATGCTTCGAAGCATTCCTCTTTTCTTTTCTTTCAATAAAGGAAAAAGAGAACGCTCTAAAGCATTTTTAGCGTCAAGTGGACTGCAGCCTTAGCCGCTCAGCGAGCGGTCGTAGCAACATGAATGGACCAAAACATCTCTCGTTGTCGTCGGGATCGGCATTCGTTCGTTCGGTCGTTCGGTGTGTGCTCACCCTTAACACACGCCAGCTTGAACGGGGGGGGGGGAGGAGACGCAGAGCGGGGGAACGAGGAAAGATGGACGTATGTACAAGAAACAAAATACGACCAGCCGGTTATATTCGCGATAAAATCGAACCGGCGCGGCGATCGAATGGAGCGTCTGGAGCATGAAATGCATCTCATTTCTTATTGAAAATAGATCGCCCGTATGTTTTACGAGTAAACGTCGCGGAGGCGAGGCAACATTTGCGGGCCGACGGCCAGGATTGTTGCGAGACGGAAAAGCGGAGAATGTCAGTGGAACGAAAAGGAGCGAAAAAGAGATGCGCGCGCAGCCGGTCGATGCCGTCGCGCGATCTCTCTCTCTCTCTCTCTCTCTCTCTTTCGCGCGCGCTTTTTCTCGTCGCCGAGAGAGAGCCACACCCAGCTCCGTTCCCGGTCAAAGTCAAGTAACAGATAAATTTCAGCGAACGATTCGGGGCGTTCGCGTGTCCTGTGCTCCGTCGCGGTCGCCCAACGGCGTACGCGGAAATTGCGAAATATACACGGGAGACGGCGAGAGAAGATGGCCGACGCGCGGCAACGACGACGCGTTCGCACAGGAACGCGGTCTTACGGCGAGGGAGAGAAAAGGACCGACAGAGGGGGGGGGGGAGGAAGGAAAAAACCGTTAAGCTATACCGGCCGGCCGGCGAGCTCGTCGCCATGACAGGTCTTCGACCGCCCGCCGCGCGGGCGAGGCTGCCCGAGGCTTTCCTCGCATACCAGCGTGCCCGTCGAGCGACGGTGAAAATTCCGACGCGACGTCCTCGTTCCCACCGGACGACGGCCGACGGCCGACGGCCCTCCTCTCGGACGCGGATATCGAGCGGCGAGAAAAATGGCGCGGCGACCCGGCGGCGCAGACCCCGGCGAGCGAGACCGAGAACGCCCTCGGCGATTATCGCGTCGCTCGTCGCCGACGGAACGATCTCGATCTCGAGCCCGAATTTAGGGCGAGCGGGCGCGAAGAACGAAGGAACGTCGACGGTCTCGCGGTAGACAGTCTCCTCTCGGACCGACGAGAAGTTGACCGCGAACAAAGGACACGCGGGACGCCGACTCGGTCTCAGTTTCGCGCGCGTACGGTCGATTTCTAGATCGCTCTCGGGATTGCCTGACGTCGCCTACCTTCGCTCCAATTTGGTTACCGCACTGGCCGGCCTGGATGTGGACGATCTCCCTCATGTTGCTCGCGCGGAGTTTTGTTGTGACCTCACGAAAAGAGTGACCCTTGGGGTACCTTGAATGCGGCGGCGACTAACGGCGATTTTACTATCGAACTGACTCGAGTACAGACTAACGCGTCGCGAGAGCCCAGAGACGAGTATGCGACGGTTGCGGTGGCCGTTACAGATTTTCAAGCCTCTGCCCTCTACGGGAGCGACGGCGGGGAGGGGAGGATGTTGGGCGCGCGCGATTGGCGGAGCCCGCCTCCGCCGCGCCGTCGCGATTCGCGGACGCCGCGCGGTCGACGCGCGACGGCAGCGTTGCCAACTTCGCGCCGCTCGCTCGCTCGCTCGTCGCCGCGTTGACTCGCTGCTCCGCGCGCTGCGCCGCGCCAGAGAAACGCGCTGCTTCGATTCTCCGAATTTCAAGAGGAACCGCTATAGCGCAACATTATGCTACCAGACTGGAGCTTTGAGAGTCCGAAATCCTACGCGATTTCTCGATCGACGAGACGCGAAATAGATCGATTGGCGAACATATCTCGCGACATGTCCGTCGGAATGGTTGAACGTGATCGAGAGAACGTGATTGATATTCGAGATCGTACTTCTATTTCTTTTTCCTTTTGTTCGGTAATAGACGTTTGCTTGTTTAACGCATGGAACAAGTCGTTCCATACGAATAATAGAAAGTTTTTCCATTTTCCTAACAATGGAATAATGAAGAATCGCTCAGCAAAATTCTTTGCGGCTATACAATAGAGCCCTTCGTTTATCGCGTTGGCTTTTATAATTCATACACTTCAGCGAATTTTTAAATATTCGATTACTCTGCGAAATCTCAAGTTACTTGTATACAATTTTCCACAAAAATACCATCAAAATGACTTTTCGCATAATATATCTAAACGATTGGTTTTATTCTGTTAGTTAAATGCAAAAAATTTTGAATTAATAATAAATTAAAAAATCGATTTTGATAGAAAAACGATTTAACAGCGACAGATAGACGCGAGAATTAACATAAGAAAAATTATACGAAAGAATCGCTATTTCATTCCTAATTTAAACAATTTGTAACATCAAAATATAAAATTTGCAACAATTCGATTTATTTTTAGATACCTATATCAAATGTGATTACGGAATCTACGATACTTCGGCTTAAATTCCCAAAACTACAACGACGACGTGATTTATATACGCATAACTCTGTAACATTAACTTAATCATCCGTTACTGGACCGTTAATTTCAAAATCTCATCGCCCCCCGGTGATCGCCCGAGATGCTGCGAAAGAGCACCGGCCCTGATTGGGACCTAATGGATACTGTGGCGGAGAGCCCTCTCGACATAAACACGAAGGGTATATCGGTATATTCGATTGGTTGCGTCAATTGCGAGCGGCGTATCGTCGCGTCGACACGAGATGATTTCGTTCCGGCGCGCGAGAGAAATGCTCGGTACACGTATATATATTTCCGTTGCTCCGTCAGCCGATTTCCGGGCGTGCATCTCGGCGCGAGATACGAGCGCCCGCCGCAGCTTATCGATTCGCAGGCGTGGCTCTCGTTGGCGGTGGCGAGCCGCGCGATTGCAGATGCGAATTGTGACGCTCACGTTCTCCGCAGGCCTCCGCACGTCTAATTGCCGGCAACGCCAATCTTTCCGCGAGACAAGCAACGCTCGTTAGAGGCTATAATTCGATTAATTCGAACCGTAGCTCGATTAACCCAGTGAGCAAAATGCTAGCGGTATGTGCTCGAGCAGAATATTGCGGCAGACTGGCGTTTATTGGCGTATCCGCATTAAGGCTCGAATTTTATCTGTAATTTGAATATATGAAAGATGGAACATATCACTTAATTAAATGATTAGAAAATGACTGATTCTGCTCGGCTTCTGCAATCTGCCAGCATATCCTAATATTAACGGATTTTCTCGTACTTCTGCTGGCATTCTGCCGAAAATTTATAGACTTTACGAGAATCTGTTTCTGACAGATTTGGCTATTTGTGACAATATCTCTATAAAATTCCCGAAAGATATTATGTACATGATTAAAAAATTAATCTTGAGATTAATTATATTATATAGGAAGAATTTTAATTAACATCTAGTATTTTTAATTTTTTGAAATGATTTTGTCGAAATGATTGGATGTTCCACGAACGCAAGAAATATATAATTTAATTATGTGATTATATTGTATATGTATATATTATTTGTATGTTGATTTATATAATTATATTATAATTAACTATAATATATAATTAATTCTTGTAACATTTGTGAGATATTTCCGTCTTTAAAATAGCGTTATATCCGTACCTCAATTTTCTTTTTTGGCCGTGACGACGGCACAAGAAGTTTACAGTTAAAAGCGTTTCTCGAAGAGTCCTCGCGAGATGCTGGTTCTTTGCGAAGCAGTACCGTATTCGTCCACGCGATTACGCGTTCGTGTGACATTACGTTGCCTTAACGGCGGCCTTCCGTCTCGCTTCCACGTGAGATGCGTCGGCGCGCCATATCTAACGCCTCCTCGAAAATGCGTTAAGTATGAATCCTGTTAGGAGGTTTTACATGGGACGAGCATTTACATCCGTATGCACCGTAAATAGCGCGAATACGTACGTATCCGTTCGCGAATAATAGCGCCAGAACGGACCCATTGTCTCTGAACAATTCCGAACTCCGTGACCTATATATTACCCGATAAATACGCGAATATGGAAGTACGATATCGAAAATGAAACATTCGTCGACTATCAGACTGTCAGACGTAAGTTTTAATTATTTTGAGTTTTTTTTTATTATATGTATATGCTTGTACAGCTTTTTTGTTTTAATTTATTACAT